AAATCACAGTCAGACTGACCAGCGAGCTAAACATCTGGTTCCTAGATGATGGCACACTAGCAGGTACAAAGGAGTCCCTCCTACATGACCTTACACAGGTAATGACATGGGGACAGGAAATGGGTCTCGTCCTGAATCCATCCAAATGTGAAATCATCTCAGTCAGTCAACAAGTGATAAATGCAGTGAGATCAAAACTACCAGGAGCAGCAGTCATTGCCCCCATATATAGTGTCTTGCTAGGAGCACCTCTGGGAAGCAATGCCATTGACACATTTCTCAGGAAGAAATTGGAAGAGTTAAGGAGAATGGAACAACGAATAGGCAATCTGGACACCCACGATGCCTTGTACCTTCTCACAAAGTGCTTGAGTCTGCCCAGGTTGACATATTTCCTAAGATGTGCACCTTCATATGATAACCCAATACTGCACGAATATGACAGTATTCTGAGGCAGATTTTTACGAAAGTACTTAACCTTACTCTAGAAGACGGGCAGTGGAACCAAGCTACACTTCCAGTCAGACTAGGAGGCATTGGTGTCTGCAAGTCATCACAGATTGCGTTACCTGCTTTTCTGTCCTCGTGTATTGCATCCAGAGAGCTTGTAGCAGCGATTCTCCCTGAACATCTTAGGGACAAGATTGGAGTCCAGGACCAAAAATTCATTTATGGAGCAATGATCTGGGATAATCTAACGGGCTCAGAAACCAGACCTGCTCCCCCCAACAACTACAAACAATCGCATTGGGATGGTCCAATAGTGGAAAATATAGCCTCAACAATGCTTCAGAGTGTGTCAGGGAAGGATAGAGCCCGCCTACTGGCAGTGAGAACCCCTCATGCTGGGGACTTTCTGTTGGCTGTTCCCAACTCCAGCCTTGGCACACGCCTCGACCCACAGACCATCCGCATCGGTGTTGCCCTTCGACTTGCCGCCCCTATTCTCGCCGAACACAGGTGTATTTGTGGCAGTGAAGCAGCAGACCGATTCGGGTACCATGGTCTTGTGTGCCATAAATCCGAGGGAAAGATTGCAAGACATGAGGAGGTTAATAACATTATCAAGAGGAGCCTCACAACAGCTGGATGCCCAGCAGTAAGGGAGCCACCCCTGTCTAAGGGCAATGTGTGGTGTAAATATTATGCAGAAAATTCGGAGTGTGGAAATTAGGAGAAGGTGTGGAGTTAATAAAAGTATTAGTCAGACGGCTGAAGAGGGTTTGTTGAGGTGGTTTGGTCATTTAGAGAGAAGGGACCAAAGTAGAATGACATGGAGAGCGTATAATTCTATAGGGGAAGGAAGGCGGGGTAGGGGTCATCCTCGAAATGGTTGGAGGGAAAGGGTAAAGGAGGTGTTGTGGGTGAGGGGTTTGGACTTCCAGCAAGCGTGCGTGAGCGTGTTAGATAGGAGTGAATGGAAACAAATGGTATTTGGGACCTGACGAGCTGTTGGAGTGTGAGCAGGGTAATATTTAGTGAAGGGATTCAGGGAAACCGGTTATTTTATATAGCCAGACTTGAGTCCTGGAAATGTGAAGTACAGTGCCTGCACTTTAAAGGAGGCGTTTGGGATATTGGCAGTTTGGAGGGGTATATTGTGTATTTTTATATGTATATACTTCTAAACTGTTGCATTCTGGGCACCACTGCAAAAACATTGATTATGTGTGAGTGAGGTGAAAGTGTTGAATGATGATGAAAGTATTTTCTTTTTGGGGATTTTCTTTCTTTTTGGGTCACCGTTCCTCAGTGGGAGACGGGCGACTTGTTGAAAAAAAAAAAAATTTATTATTATTTATTATCACACTGGCCGATTCCCACCAAGGCAGGGTGGCCCGAAAAAGAAAAACTTTCACCATCATTCACTCCATCACTGTCTTGCCAGAAGGGTGCTTTACACTACAGTTTTTAAACTGCAACATTAACACCCCTCCTTCAGAGTGCAGGCACTGTACTTCCCATCTCCAGGACTCAAGTCCGGCCTGCCGGTTTCCCTGAATCCCTTCATAAATGTTACTTTGCTCACACTCCAACAGCACGTCAAGTATTAAAAACCATTTGTCTCCATTCACTCCTATCAAACACGCTCACGCATGCCTGCTGGAAGTCCAAGCCCCTCGCACACAAAACCTCCTTTACCCCCTCCCTCCAAAATAATAATTATATGTATAATAATACAGTGGAACCTCAAATATCGAACTTTCTTCGTTCCAGATGCCTGTTCGAGTGCCGTTACCGAACGAATTTATTCCCATCAGGAATAATGTAAATTAGATTAGTTCATTTCAGACCCTCAGAAATACACTTATAAAAGCACTTACAAAAATACGCTTACATAATTGGTTGAGTTGGGAACAGCTCGGTATTTGAGGTTCCACTGTAATAGTGTAATAATAATATTAATACGTATAATAATAACACATGTATAATAATAACACATGTATAATAATAACGTACTTCTTTCTTTCATCAAACCGGCCAAATCCCACCGAAGCAGGGTGGCCCAAAAAAGAAAAAAGTTTCTCTTTTTAACTTTAGTAATGTATACAGGAGAAGGGGTTACTAGCCGTTTGATCCTGGTATTTTAGCCGCCTCTTACGATATGAATCCATTCCAGAGAGCTCATGGTTAGACAAAATTATCTTAAGTCGAATTAATTTTCCCCATAAGAAATAATGGAAATCCAATTAATCCGTTCCAGACACCCAAAAGTATGAAAAAAAAAATTTAACACATGAAATATACATTTTCCTACACAGAAAAAGAAGGAAGCATACACAGTATACTGTACTAAATGAAGAATAAATAACACTTACCTTTATTGAAGCTGTAGTGATGTGTGATGAGATGGGAGGAGGGAAGATGGAAGTGTATTAATTTTTGGAAGGGGAATCCCCTTCCATAAGGAATTTAGGTAGCAAGCCCTTTTCCGGGGTTACTTCCCTTCTTCTTTTATGCCACTGGGAACAACTTGAGAGTCACTGGACCTCTGTTGCACCAAAAATCTGTTCATAGAGCTCTGTTCCTCACATTCCTTTAAGATTTTCCTAAAGTAGTTCACAACATTGTCATTGTAAAAGTCACCAGCACGGCTTGCAATGGCTGTGTTAGGGTGATTTTCGTCCATAAAGGTTGGTAGTTCAACCCACATTGCACACATTTCCTGAATCTTTGAAGAAGGCAGCTTCCTCAATTTCTCTCTCCCCTCCTCTGAAGCAGTTTCCTCAGTTGTGGCCTCTTGCTGTTGCAGATGCTCTTGCAGCTCATCGGTGGTTGGTTCTTCATCTTCGTCGTCCACCAACTCTTCCACATCCTCCCAACGAACCTCCAAGGACTTCCACCAATGCCACAATAGATTCCACAACTGGCATAGGCTCCTGAGGGTTAGCCCCAAACCCTTCAAAATCCCTCTCTTGTACACATTGTGGCCACAATTTCCTCCAAGCAGAGTTCAAGGTCCTCTTAGTCGCTCCCTCCCAAGCCTTACCTATGAGGTTTATGTAATTGAGGATACAAAAGTGATCTTTCCAAAACTCTCTTAGGGTCAGTTGAGTGTCTGAGGCCACTTCAAAGCACTTTTGAAACATTCCTTTGGTGTACAGTTTTTTGAGATTTGAAATGACCTGCTGGTCCATGGGCTGGAGGAGAAGAGTGGTATTAGGAGGCAAAAACTTCACTTTTATGAAGCTCAACTCCCCCGAAATTTGCTCTGGCAAGTCTGCAGGATGACCAGGAGCATTGTCTAATACCAGGAGGCACATAAATTCCTATTTATTTTCCAGGAGATAATTTTTCACAGTGGGGCCAAACACATAGTAAAACCAGTCATAGAAAAAGTCCCTAGTGGCCCATGACTTACTGTTTGCCCTCCACATCACACAGATTAACCTAGATGACATTGTTTTTCCTGAACACACTGGGAGTTTCAGAGTGATACACAAGTAGAGGCTTCACTCTGCAATCCCCACTAGCATTACTACACAACATTAAGGTTAGCCTGTCTTTCATAGGCTTGTGTCCTGTGAGTGCTTTTTCCTCCTGTGTAATGTAGGTCCTGTTTGGCATTTTCTTCTAAAACAAGCCTATTTTGTCACAATTAAACACTTGTTGAGGTTTCAATCCTTCAGCTTCTATGTACCCCTTGAATTCCTGCACATATTTTTCATCTGCTTTTTTGTCCTAACTGGCAGCCTCACCATGCCTTATCACACTGTGTATGCTGCTACGATTCTTAAATCTCTCAAACCAACCTTTGCTGGCCATTAAATTCACTCACATCACCACTACTTGCAGGCATTTTTTTAATTAAATCGTCATACAGATGCCTTGCCTTTTCACATTTGATCGCGTGAGAGATGCTATCTCCTGATATCTGTTTTTCGTTTATCCACACCAATAACAGTCTCTCAACATCTTCGAGTACTTGTGATCTGTGTTTCGAAAAGATACTTGCACCTTTCGCAACAACAGCTTCCTTGATTGCCTTCTTGTTGGCCAGGATAGTAGCAATGGTTGATTGGGGTTTGTTGTACAACCTCGCCAGCTCAGAGGCACGCACTCCACTTTCATACTTTTTAATTATCTCCTTCATTTCTATACTAATTTTCACCCTTTTTACCACAGAGTTGGCACTAGAAGCTTTCTTTGGGCCCATGGTGGCTTATTTAGCAATTACAAGCACTAAAAGCACTGGAATAATACAAAATGTACCGAATGTATGCGTGGAACCGACCGCACTGGCTTGTAAACATTGGCACACTAACTGAAGGCAGGCCAGCTGAGGCACGCTCAGGTCAGATGGATGTGTGGACGCGTATGGGATGACTGATATAAGTCGAGTTTTTCATCGTAGGCCGTTGTAAAATTTGTACACTGAAAAGCTTTGTAAGTCGATTTTATCGTAAGATGAGGCCTTCATAAGTCGAGGGCCCACTGTAATTATAATAATAGACGACTTCAGAAGGCTGTCACTAGAGGGCAGTGTTTACCACAACATTGCTAGAGAGGTTATGGATGCCTCCACTTGTCACATAATGACATATTTTTTTCATTCTGGAATATGTATCAGGTTTCTATGTTATTTATATTGTTTATTATACCATATTAAATGAATTGTGATAGATAAATAAGCCGTAGAGTTGATATTAAGAAAATTATTAAAGTATTTTATGGTGCCTGGAATTCCACTAGAATGAATTAATTTTATTTCTGTTAATTTAAATGAGGAAAATTGACTCTGCAAACGAGCAAATCCAAATGTGAGCAAGGTCACGGAACGGATTAAACTCATTAATGGAGGTTCCACTGTATAGCATTTTTCACAAACTAGGATCCTGGATCTGAAACACAGTGTGTGTTATTACAAACTTGCTTGCATATGAAATGTACTTTTGTTGATGACTCATTACAATAGGGTCATTCTATGTCAAATGGTCTGATTTTAGAAAAATGCCCCACCTCACCATCATGGATTTTGATGAAACTTGGTGTGCTGAATCTTACATGTCTCAAACTAAATTTGGTAAAGTTTTAGATCTGTCAATGAAATGGTTGCTGAGATAGAACCCTTTCTTTGACTCCATTTCACGACCATTACCCAATGAAGTTAAGACAATTTTGAATTAAAATAATTTCTCACTCTTTCTTCCAAAATAAATGAAATTTTGCTATCTTACGCAACATCTTATGCTTAATCCAATGAAACTAATATGGATTTACATTTGTTAAGGTGACATGCTGATTGAGCCTCAAACTGGGGCAAAAATATCAATGTGTCAAAAAAATGTCAAAGTTTAGCCTTCTCTGGCTTGTATAATAATAAAGGTATCCTCATGAAATTCTGTTTACTATTTTGTGACATAACCTTGTTTACAGGTATTTAGTTTCAATTTGGGAGAATGTTTACTTTCTTTTATATTTAAATTTAAATTTTCACACTTTTTTTCAAAAAAGTAGAAAATAGGTACTTTCAATGTGCTTTTGCAAAAGAGAGTCATCTTGAAACATTTTCAAACTGCATCCATTAGAAAGAATATGTTTTAAGCCATTTTAAAAAGTTGCTTCAGTTTTTCATCACGTCCATATAATGCCCAAAAAATAAGGGTCAAACTTCGACAGTTTACTGTAGCTTCAATGCTCTGTGAAAATCCACAGTATGGTTAACTTTTTAAGCTTGACGTGTCATGTAATCATTTTTTTGACCACTCTTTATGAGATAAGTGTAGAAGTATTTGATTACATTGGTCCATGGTGGCATTTCCACTACTGGTTCAATCACTTCAAACCAGCAACCTCATCGCCATAGAGGTCACGCTCGAAAGCCATGCAGTCTCAGGCATGGGTTTAGGTTTCCGAGTCTGCAGTCTTGGTTTCTTTGTTGAGGTTCCAAAACCTTGGTGGGTGGTATCTGTTTGGTTCCAAAACTAATAGCAGGGCTGCTTAGTCTAGGTTCCCAAGCCTACTGTGGGTATCTTCAGTTGGTTCCTAAGCCGAAGTTCTGACCGCTTGATTTGATGGCTCACGTTTGCCCCCCAAAAAAATCTGAAAACTGATGTTGTTGCCCAGATGATGTAACTGATGGAACAGGAAACACGGAAATGAGGTGTTACTCTGGCACCCAACAAATGTCGTGTCTTTAAGGCCAGTAAAATGAACTGGCTAGACCATGTGAGTGCATAAACTTTATCAAGATGTCACTTTCTTTCACCAATACTTCAACAGCATTTTCAGCCCACCATTTGTTATCATAAATGCAAGCAATGTAATTATCAGGGAGCATTTGTGATATTGATAATCCTGGCATTTTAGTGCCCGTTTTGGAAGTTTTGGAAACAAAGTATGTAGATGGCATCATTTGAAACTTTACTTACGCATTTAGTGGTTGAGTCAAGTGCCACAAATTGGTGTTGCTCCCGTGTTCCAGTTATTTTGCTGCTTTTTTTTTTGCCATCTTTCTTTTTGAAAAGATTTGTTTTCATCAACTTTTTGGGGGGGGAACAAATATATATTTAATTCCATGTATATTCTTGTCACAAAATTTGAATAGATCTTTTGGTGTCTATTTGGTCATTCAGTGAGCTTTGAAGGGTAGCTCTAGTGGCTAATCTTTTTGTTGTTCCTCCAATTCCATCACATTGTGATTTGCTATGGCTTGTTCAAAAAAAAATTCCATTATGCTTCAACATTGAAATCAGTCTTGTGATTGCACAAATTAACAAAACTTTTGAAGTTCTTATATTGAGCACCTGAGCCATCACTAAAATGGTGGATTCTAGCAACTTTCATTCTTGTCTTCAAAAACTTGATCAGCTTGGAAATGAAAAGTTAAACAGATATTGAGTCATGCTGCATGTGATCTGATGATGCAAACATTTGTAACATCTAGGATAGCAGTTTTGTTGATGTAGTATGCAACAGATGGATGTAATGTAGCTTGTGAATTTTCCCAATGAAAGCTCTAAGCAGCATCTTGTACAACAAAAGAGTAATTTTCAGCAATGTCCATCAAAGCAATCATTTCGCCTTCTTCTAAATTCACTTTCAAGGATTTCAGATATTCGCTTTGATGCTTTGACACAAAATGGTGACTTGTTAGCTTCCAAATTTTGTTTGCAAACTTGCTGATAAATTCATCCAACGTTAGTTTGCACATTTTTAGCATTTCACAATCAGTATGCACCCACTGTTTAAATTCGATCAGTTCATCCAGATCCCAATCTTTGAATATTTCTTTGAGATAAACTGTAAGTCCTTCCTCACCAGGACAATCTTGGCATTGCTCTAGCATGCAATCTCTAGAGTTCAAATTGCAAACAGTTTTTTCAATAAGCACTTTGTAATTGCCCTTAATATTGGCTCCTTGCAATATGAGTTTGATGTTCTGATGTATGGTACAGACACAAACAGAATGGGTGCCTGGAACACCAACTGTTATGCACCACTTTCGTCCGAGCTCACAAAGTTTTGAAAGCCCGATTTCAGCACCATGCCTTTCATAATATACTATATACATCTCTATAAGGTTTCTCAACAGCAACTGCTTCTGTTTGTATATCTTTTCTCCATCAATCCAAACTGGAACACGGTCTTTCTTGCCAGGACACATTCTGCTGAATTCATCATCTTCATAAAATTCTTGTACTCTATTGACCACCCCTTTCGACAACTGCTTCCCGACTTTTAGTTCTGGCAAAGCTAAAATGTCTTGTTCTTTCTTAATTTTTCTGGCTACCTTCACCATACACTCTGAAACTCCAAACTCCAAGGCTGTAGCTTCAATAGACCAGCTTTTTAGTCAAAGTCAACATTTGAACTTTTTTTTTTTGTGTCGGATATTTCAATTTTCTTCATTTCTTCAATCAGAGAAATGTAGTCTTCCCACAAGCTGCATTCCATCATCTGACTAGATTATCCAACGTTCTGAGCATCAAGTCTGGCAGTGGCAGTGATCTTGTGTATTATCACATTTTGCACTTGGTCTGTTTTTCATTTTGTATAGCCCACTTTATCTCTACTGCTCACTTTCAAAAATTTAAAAAGGTAATTCACCCAATGCAGACAAGCTTTTATTAACTGTGGCAGACTTGTCCATATCAAAATCATCCAAAGATGAGGATGAGGCAGTTGAAGTCTCCACTATTCAAGCATCAACTTTACATTCAGAACAAATTTTCTGACCTGGTTTGATTTTGCTCTTAGTCAAACAGTTCAATATGTTGACCATTTGAACATCGACCCTCAAAAGTCCTGTTCTGGTATAATGATTTTGCTTTCCAAATGGCTTGCATCATGACATTTGCATTGTTTCATATTTTTTGAGGTAGAGTGGAACTCCGGATTTCGTACTTAATCCATTCCAGAAGGTCAGTCTAAATCCGAAATATACGAAACCCAAAGTACAGGTTTCCCTCAACATTCACGTTTTCCACTTTCGTGGGCTTCGAACAGTCGCGAATTCCCAGCCGCCCAATCATATTTAAAATATATCATTACATATGTTAGGAATTGTGGCGGTGGCAGAGTTTGTTTGGAGACAGGACAAGATAGTACTTCAATATGACACTAATATTAACTCTGTGGCTTATTTATCTATCACAATTCATCTAATATGACATAATAAACAATATTAATAACATAGAAACAAGATATATACTCTAGAATGAATAAAATATGTCATTAAGTATATCAGGAGTGTTGCTGTGTTGTTGTTGTTGAGTATTTGAGGGCCACTGAGATGCAAGTCATACATAGTGGTGGTTGATGCGGCAGCAGAGGGAGAGACTGAGACGGCGGTGTTGTCAGTCACCCTATATAACTCCAACAACACTGGAGGAGTTATGTTTGTGCTGAGTGGAGGAGTTACGTTCGTGCTGTCCTTTTTCAGTCGATTAACCCTTCGACTGTCGCAACCCCCAATCCTGAGGTGTCTCCTGGTGTCGCAAAATTAAAAAAAAAAAATTATTTTTTCTTATGAAATGATACAGAATCATTTCCTGATTGTAAAGACACCAAAAAAAAAAACAAAATTTGGTGGAAAACTGACGGAGTTACGCTCTCGCGAAGTTAGCGACCTCGGCGATATTTACAAATCAGCGATTTCGCCCACTTTGAGCCCTATTTTTGGCTAATTCCATTATTCCAGTCAACCAGACTCATAGCTATTCCTTCAGAACTACATTTTTTCTATCGATTGAGTACAAGAAACTGCCCATTTACCGATTTCAACTACCCAATAACGTGGTCAGAAATTTGCAATTTGGCCAATTTCACGAAAATTAAAAAATATGACAATTTCAAAATAAGGACCAGAATGAACAATGCAGACATTCCTGGCTCTAAAATAACATTTTCTTTGTTTTATCAGTCATTTTCTCCAGGCCCCTTGATATTACTCTTTTCTTTTAATTTGAATTTTTATTCAAACAAAAAATAGAAGATTTACTTTTTATGCAGACTACTGCAATACTGTGATAATTGTATCAACCCATTCATGATTGC